AAAGGGAGTTTTTTGGGTCCAAAATTGCCGTTTTTTCGCAAAACCTTTATTTCTGACTAGAAAATAGCGATTTTTGAGGGAAAAATCAAATTTTGGGGGAAAAAAGTCAAATTTTGGCGGTTAAAATGGGTCAAAATAAAACTTTATGTGGCAAAAATCCAATTTTGGGGGGAAAAACCCGTGATTTCTGGGAAAAGAAGTCGTTTTTGGCTGCAAAATCGCTGTTTTTACGCAAAACCCTTATTTCTCGCTAGAAAATTGCGCTTTTTGTGGAAAAAATGGAATTTTGGGTGAAAAAATTCAAGATTTGGAGCATAAAGTAGGTCAAAACGAAAGTTTTGGATGGAAAAAAGCCAAATTTTGGGGAAAAAACCCCGAATTTTCAATCTAAAAACCGAGCTTTTGCGTCTAGAGCCGCCATATTGTTTTTGCAAAAACCACTTTATTTCGGGCTAGAAAAGTGCGATTTTTTGGGGGTAAAAATCCAATTTTGGGGTTAAAGTGGGTCAAAACGAAACTTTTTGAGTGGAAAAAGCCAAATTTTGTTTAAAAAAACCTCCATTTTCAAGCTAAGAAAACCGAGTTTTTGGTGTAGAGCCGCCATATTGTTTTTGCAAAAACCACTTTATTTCGGGCTAGAAAAGTGCGATTTTTGGGGGGTAAAAATCAAATTTTGGGGTTAAAGTGGGTCAAAACGAAAGATTTGGATGGAAAACCAGCAAATTTTGGTTAAAACCCCCCTCAATTTCCAAGCTAAAACCCGAGTTTTGGCGTCTAGAGCCGCCATATTGTTTTTGCAAAAACCACTTTATTTCGGGCTAGAAAAGTGCGATTTTTGGGGGGTAAAAATCAAATTTTGGGGTTAAAGTGGGTCAAAACGAAAGATTTGGATGGAAAACCAGCAAATTTTGGTTAAAACCCCCCTCAATTTCCAAGCTAAAACCCGAGTTTTGGCGTCTAGAGCCGCCATATTGTTTTTGCAAAAACCACTTTATTTCGGGCTAGAAAAGTGCGATTTTTGGGGGGTAAAAATCAAATTTTGGGGTTAAAGTGGGTCAAAACGAAAGTTTTGGATGGAAAACCACCAAATTTTGGTTAAAAACCCCCTCAATTTCCAAGCTAAAAACCGAGTTTTTGCGTCTAGAGCCGCCATATTGTTTTTGCAAAAACCACTTTATTTCGGGCTAGAAAAGTGCGATTTTTTTGGGGTAAAAAACGGGGATTTCAGTAGCAGGCGGCGGCGGAGTCGCTGAGCACCAGGGACACGTTGAGGTGGGCGGGGTTACCGGCGGATTTATCCAGGGATTTCTGCGCCAGCCGCAGCGGGAGCCGCTCGTGCCCCACCAGGCAGGTGTAAACATGGCCGCCCTCCCAATCCCGCGCCGGCACCGTCAGCGTGCTGACGCTCTGGTGGGCGTGGCCGGAAGGGGCGTGGCCGGGTTGGGGGCGGGGTTTCCAGGTGAGGGCGTGGCTGGAGGGGAGGGGCTGCCCGTCCTTCAGCCATTGGACGAGGAGGTCCGGGGGGTTGAAGTCGAGGATGAGGCAGGTGAGGGTGGCCCAGGTGCGGCGGCGCAGCTGCTCCGGGGGCGGGGCCAGCAGGTGCACGGTGGGCGGGGCCGCGTCCGGAACTGGGAAAAGGAAGGAAATGGATTTTGGGGGGATTTTGGGGGGGGAAATTTGGGATTTTTGGGGGGTGAAAATTTGGGATTTTGGAGGTGAAAATTTGGGATTTTTTGGGAAATTTTGGGGGAATTCGGGGGAAATTTGGGATTTTTGGGGTGAAATTTGGGAT